AGCGGCTTCTCAGCAAACAACAGCGTCCAGTGATCTTTTCAGGCTCAGCAACGACCCTCCAACAAACAGCCGCTTGCAGCAAGCACATATGCAGGCACCTCAGCAGCTAGGTAAGACGCTGCCACATGCACAACAACTGTGTGACATGGGCCAAGCACCAGTCCGATGTCACTTAACAGACTGTGTGCCTAATGCGTGGTGAGTGCCCCCTGACAACACAGTATGCAGTGATAGCATAGGCTCATAGCCCACAGTCGTATCCACAGGTCGTGGTCTCAAGACAAACTCCTACTTCCTCCTCTCGCCTCCCTGCTTCTTGCACTCCTGCATAACTGTTCCCCGATGCCCCGCTGCGTCCTTTCCTCTCGGTTTCCTCTGTGATAGCGCCCCCTCCCTCCTTATTTTACACCGAGTACTATTATTACGGTCTCAACAGAGATSCTAGCCGACAGGATCAAAAGGGCCCCACTTTTCGATGGGCAGTGTCCGTGCGAGGATACTCTTGGCAGGTCATCAGATACGAGGTGCCTGACGATCACCTCGGCTATAACGGTAGTTACGGAAGGCATAGTAGCAACGGAGCAGTCACGAACCAAACGAACAACTCATTCACTCCGTACAGCACCGCACACATCCTCTACGGAGGCAAGGCGGCACTCGACCGACTTCACATCATGATCGAACCCCGCAAACTGTCGACTCCTACCCCCCACTGAACCAGGGAGTCGCCCCTGTCAAGCATCCATCATCACGTATAGCGACACAGACATCCCGAACCGAGCAGCCCTTCATCGACGTCTGGCCCGTATCAGCGGTCGAGTCCTCCCCTTCCCACAGGTACATGCGCCCCTCGACCAAGTCTCCTGCTATAACCCCGTCACTCGATAGCTCCACACAGCCTTTTGAGCCCGCACCGCGGGAACCAAGAGCTGATCCTTCGATTCGTCCCGTATCSACAGTCCTGCGAGCCAGGTAAGCTCGACACGTACTCTCTCTTTCTCTCTCTCTCTCCCTCTCTCTCTCTCTCTGCTTCGCACCCGCAATCGTACCCTTCCAAGCACATAAAAATTCGAATGAATCTTCTGTTGGAACGCGGAAAGATACATGCCATTTTCACGAAATAGAAATCCTCCCGTGCGCAGCACCACGCACACCCATTCCTACTTACTTCTAAATCTACTAATTCCTTTGCTAAACTAATTTCAGATCCGGGGTCGCCCAACTTCAAACCCCCCGGATCGACTTTTACATCGCCCGTGTTTATCAAGAAATAGGCGCGAAAAACGTTCCTTCCGGCCCCTGCCATAGCCGGCTCCCACCATCTCCCCGCATCTATCTTTCCAACTAACTCCTAATCTACTAACCTTCTCGCTAATCTGACCCCATATTCGGATTCACCCACTGTGAAAACCCCTCAAACGACCGTTCACTCGCCCGTTCTCATCAAGGAAYGGGCGATCCAGACGCTTTTCTTCCCCACCATAGCCAACTTCCGCCGTACCTCTTCGCAGTCCATTCCTTCTCTACCTTCAATTCTACTAATCCTATACCAAAATTGACCGTATAATCGGGTTCGCCCGACCTAGAAACCCACGTCTAGCTTCTTCCCTCGCTCGTTTCCGTTCAGAAATGAGCGATTTATGCTCTCCCTGCTGTGGCACGCTCGCCCCCTCACCTTAGCTGCGCCATCTGTCCTTCATGCACCCTGCGCTTGCCCCCATCCAGATCCGTTCCCTATTCCGTTTTCCCTGTACCTGGTGCCTTGACCCGTCGTCTCCCGTCTACCTCTGCCTCAGCGCTCCCGTTCGTGCCTGCCGATGCCGACTGGAGGTCACACCAAAGTCCCGAAACGCGCCGCGACCCGATTAGTGCACTGCTCGTAATAAGAAAAAACAAACGATCGAAACAGATGCGACGCGCCCGATTTATGCCTGTCATCTTTGCGTAGAGGCCATGCTAATCTTCTCTGTATCGTTCCAATTTTAACGGATGTCCCGAAGGACACGGTCTGGGCCGCGGGGTCAACAGACGACTCRRAATATTTGGTCTCCCTYATCGACCAAACCCCACCATCCGGATTCGAGCCCAGGTCTGTGTTTCAACAGTCCAAGGGTATACCGCTGAGCTAGGCCCATAGGCCCCAAAGGTAGTCGCGGCCCCGCACCCCACCTACGGCACCGTGCCTCAAGGCAATACGGGTATGGCTTCGGCGCAGCCCGCGAGGACAGTTTGCCACAACACTTCAGGCGTCCCTGCGAATGCAACCTGCTTCCCGGGGCCCGACATTAGGCCCGATATCGGGCCCTAGGACGGGACGCGAGTAAACGAAACTAAAACGGATGCTAAACAAAAATAATAAAACTGGAACAGGGAACTTTTAACGGGCAGCCTTACGAATCGGCCCCCTTCGGTCGCGCTTGTAAACAAAAACGAAGGGGGATAGCCCCATCGGGCCCTCGACCCCTCCGATTTTCTCCATGCCGCTCCGCTGCCACTGCTACATCGGGGTCCGCCGACCTCGATCCCCGAATCTCCGTACCGTCATCCCGAATGTCGTAACCTACAGGGCTAAACCCAAACCTGAGACCAAAACACGCTGAGTGTCATATAAGACGGTGCGGCGCGGCGCTTTGGGCCAACAAAAATGGCTGCGCGACTCTCAGTGCCCGCGCCGGCTTGCCTATACCATGCCATAATTACCCCTCGCGCTATCCCACGACATCCCGCTCACCGCACGAAATCGCGCCGTTATTGCCCATGCCGTCATCGGGGTCGTTCTCCGCACGCATGCTCAACTTGGTCAAACGTAACCATCGGAAAGAAGTATGCCCGAAAACCTAGTTTGATCAAGATTAAACAAAAGAGTAAAGTTACAAATAGAAACGAATCGACCGGCGTCCGCGCCGACCCTGTAATCAACGCTAGAAACGCAATCACGCGCGCCTTCAACCTGCGCGCCCACGCACTCTTCACTCTAGTCTGCCATCCTGTCAATGTAATCACAGACACTGCCGCACCTAGCGCGACATACTTTAACTTTAAACTAAAACTATTTTCTGTCACCTGCAAAAAACCAAGGCGGATACCCTTGTAAGGGTATTCGCACCGACAGCCTTACCGGACCATATTAAGCGACGTCCCCGTCGCTTCGCCTAATCTGAAAGCTATAAATCCATTCCGATTAGCCGACAAACACAGGGTAGAGGCCTCCATCAAACCATGCCTTCACAACTATATGCTGCCAGGTTTCTAACCTGGGCCTCACACCGTCCAGAAATTAGGACACTGGCAGCATAAGTTCCAAAGACCTTCCCAATCGTCCTCTCCCCGGTCCTAGACAACCTTCGGTTTCTCGTTGGGTGTCCCTAGTCTTGGCAAAAACTAGGGACGCGGGCCTTAACCGAGACCTTTGAAGGCACTCTCGCCTTTCTTCTCAAAATCTCTCGCAATCAAATACATATAAGTATATATGTAAACTTAATATCCACTCCGCTCTTTCTGCAGTCTAGTACAGAAAGGCCAGGTCTCCATCTTGGCCCACCATAGCCTGGTTGATCGGACCAGGACTACGGCCTACCGCATTGTTATTTAACGACAGTACCCTCGTTGGTTACGCAACGATAGGGTTTCTCCTAATAGGCACTTAATCAGGACCTCCCAAAATCTCAACCTTCACTATCCCACGGAGTAATTTCCCTGGGGCGGGTAACTCCCCTTAAACTCTTACCCCGTGGTCCAGCAACCAGGTTGCGCCGGTTAGCAGCCATCCAATGGGGTTACGCCCTAGAGGTACTAACTTCTTTTCCGTTAGCTTGGCCTTTCTTCAATATGTCTCAGAATTAGCACCAGTGGTTAAACAGGTGCGTCAAAACAAAATCACAGGCCCACTGCGCGATACGCAGGGGTCCGAAGGCATTTACGAACCCTCCTTCAATAGGCATGACCTCCTTCGCACGCTTACAAGCAAAATCACCGCTAAATCCACCAGGCAGTGACTATCGACTTGATCAGAGTCAGCAGCCACCCCCACCCTAAGACATCTCTCGCCCTGTACTCATTGCGACTTTCTCAAACATTTCAAACAAAAAGTGGCACCTTTCCGTCAGACTTTATCACCCATCAAACAACTCATCATGCCATAAATCAATTTACTCACTTCTGAGGATGAGTCTTCCAACCAAAAACCACTCCCCTTTTCCAACAATCCAAAAGAGACTCTCTTCATAAACAAAACACCCCCCTCTTCCAAAAATCACGAGGGGTCTCGCCATAAAACAATACATTCCCTCTTCCAGAAATCACGAGGGTCTCATCATAAATCAACCACCCCCTCTCTCAAAGTCACGAGGGGTTTCGTTACATCACAAAACATCACAAAATATCCCCTCCCTTTTCCAAAATCTAAGGGGGTCCCATCATAAAACAGAACATCACCGAGAGACCATCTTATGGGTCCTCATCACAACTTAGATAATTTTCACAGACGGACTGCGCTTCCTCCCCTTATACTCTGCCTTATCAGCTGCCGTGGGCAGGTCGCACAAGTATACCGAGGAGTAGACAGTTTTACTTACAATCATATTCACATACCCAAGATACATAAAAGATTTTTCATACATTGTCCACACAAACTCATCATACATCAGAGTACAACCACACATGTGAGAAAGACAAGTGATCGTCACATATAAGAATGGTCCCTGAAGGAAACCTCATCATAATATACACTCAGGGAATACAATGTCTCATATAGAAAGTGTCTCCAAATCATAGCTTGCTCAACTCCAGCCACACCAAACCCACACTGACAACTACCCTTAGAATACATGTCAGATCTGTCTCTCAAAGACCAGGGCGTAGGCCTACCTAAATATGTACATGCCTCATCTAAACCACCCTGACCCTCAAAACCCCAACTTAGTAGAAACACTAGAGTTCAGATCTAGATTAACAGTAATCATCAAAATGTCTTCTAAGTCTAAGAGAGTATCACACAGAACCTAAGTTGATGCCTCACAAAATGCTCGTTCGCTTATATAGACAAAGCCGGCCCTATCTCCTCAATTCCTCCTGGTTTTGCCTATATAACTGAGCCCTAAGCCCATCTGCGGACTTCTCTACTATCCTACCCTGTCTATCATACATTTTACCCCCTACCTCTGAGATCTTCCCTGCTGCCTTATCCTCAAGAAACTCGAGACAGTGCAAAGCATGATGTGCGCTCCTCTTGCAGTAGAAACATAGTTGATCAACCTTCCTCTTGAACTTTCTCTTCCTGGGCTGCGGAGGTAGTGATGAAGGAGATCCTGCCAAGGTACTGATAACCCCCTCCTGCTCTGCTTGAGGAGTTGCGGTACCAACAACTTCCTGCCGCTCTGTCCCCGGAACTGGTCCACCAGACCCAGATCCAGTAGCCCAAAATCCTAGTCTGCCTCTCAAATCCTCTGTCGCTGGAACGTACTCGGGCGTGTCCAACCTCTGAGGCCTCCTCTCGAGTGCTGCCCCTRGCACTGYCGTGGGCTGCTCCTCAATCTCCTCTGGTCCATACTCAGGTGTGCCTATCCTCTGGAGTCTGCCCTCGATGGCACCCTCCTCCTCAATCCCCATCTCTCTCTCAAGAGGCTCCTCTATCCTCTGCTCAGGTGAAAACAAACTCACCTCCTCCTGCATAGTATGCACCGCCTCAAGGAGCACGCCCATGGATCCCTCTGCCGAGCCCTGAGCCGGCTCACTGCTAGATGGTGGCAGCCCCTCCTCTACTGCCAAAGGTACGACTGGGCCTGCCGCCGCCACTGGCAGCGTCGCGAGCTCGGTAGGGGCTCTAAACTCAAACGCCTCTCTCTCTGCCTGTCTCTGGGCTCTTGCCTTCTCTGGCTCCATGATAAATCTTTCCATAGGTGGCTCCTGGCGAGGCTCTGTCGCAGATGGCTGTCCTGGCAATCCCTGTCCTGACTGCCTCTGCTCTCCCTGCCGGCTGCTTTCTGGTCTGTCCACCTTTCCCTGGGTTTGCTGCCTCAGGCTCTCAATGATAGCTGCATGGCTGGCCACCAAAGCCCTAAGTTCCTGAATTTTCATCTCCATAGCCTCCAGACGTACTCCATGGCTGGCTTCCTTCATTTTCTTCCCCGCCAGATCGCCCTCCAATAACAAGTGCCGGTCAAATGTGGTCTTGGCTAGGAACTTGATTTTACGATCTAACCTTTCTTCCGCCTTCCTGGCCACCCCAAACCCGGCTCTGACTGGCGATGGAAGCTCTTCTCCTCTCTGCTTCCAGAAGTCTCTCCACATCTCAGGAATCTCCGGGGCCTTGGCTGGCGCGCTGGGTGGCTGACCCGAGAGTGCTCCTGCTACCTCCGATCTCTGCCTCTCCTGCTGCTGCTCCGGGAGCTCCCCAACTGCCTCCAACCTCTGCCTCTCTTGCCATATCTCATCTATCCGCCTGGTTTTGTCTTGCCCTCTTTTCTTCGGCCGTCTCTCCAGCTGGCACCCTTTCCCTCGTGCGGAGGTCGACCCTCTTTGGGATTTCTGCTTCCATCTCCTTCTCGGGCTGGCATGACTCCTGGCGTGGCTCTGCAGGTGTTGGCTCCTTCAGGTCTGGGTGCTCCAGGGCATGAGCTGCTAGGTGCCTATCAATTAGGATCAAAGCTTCTCTCCTTACAGTTGCCCTCTCTCTCCCCCTTTCTGCCCTCCCTTCTGGCGAAGGAGCCTTTTCTGACGAAGGTAAAGGGGTCTCCTCTCTCTGCAACCCCTCATTTGTCTGTCGGGTGCTCCCTGGTGCATCCCCGAGTCTCAAACCCACTGCTAGCGTCTGTGGGGGCGTGTCCTCTCCAACCTCTATCACTTCCTTCCCTGCACGTCTCCCCTCATCGCCCAGCCCTCTCTCTTGCTGAGTACCCGGGATCTCTTCCTGTGATACCTCCTCCCGCGGCATCTCCTCTCGTGGTATCTCCCCCTGTGGCACCTCCTCTCGTGGCACCTCCCCTCGTGACACCTCCTCTGCCTGCTCTCCATGCTCCTCTCCCYGAAGCGACGCCCTCCACCGAGAAATATCTAAATGCATCTCCAATTCCCTCAAGGGCCCCTCTGACGCTGGTGGCTTCCCCTGTGTGTGTGCTGGCGACCTCCTCAATCCACCCTCAGTAAAACGATGGAACTCCACTGGCCCCAACAGACACTCAGGGTATGCCCCTCGCTCCTCATCCTCTGGCTCCTGCTCTCTCTTGGCTAGGGCCTTCCGTCCTCCTCGAGATGGTTTCGCCTCCCTGGGCTTAGGGTCCCTCGGCCTCTGACTCCTCTGCCGCCTCTCGACTCTGGGCTGAGGGAGCTCTGGCTGTCGAAAGGCCTCTCTCAGATGTGCCCTGCAGCTCTCCCAATCTCGTGCCATGTCCCTGATCTGCATAGCCAGTGGCCTTTCCGCCTTCCTGGTCCAGAGTGGTAGCGTCTGCATCCAATCATCTCTCGGTATGCCCTGCTCTTGCATGAACCACTCAAACGAGGGGATGAAGTCCGACGCATTTTCAATCTCCAGGTGGATTGGCCTACCATCAGGTCCCACAGGCGAGGGTCGCAACTCCTCCATCTTCATCTCCACCTCCTGCCTCGTCGTCGCCTCCCTACGAATCCTGGCAATGGGCTCTTCGAACCTACCTGCTCCCCTTAATCTCTCAATCGCCTGAGTGACGGTCCAGCCCATACGCCTCGCATGCTCCCAGAAACTGTCGAGGAATAGCTCGATGTCCCCATCATTGTAGACTGGAGTACTCTCTCGTTGGCGAGGCCCATGCCGCTCATATCCTCCTGATGCGCCTAACGGCCTCTGAGGCGGCCGTGTCCCCTTCCCTCCTCTTGGCATGGCTGTCTTCGTAAAGTCAGACCTGCACAACAGGCGAAGGAGACAACAGGCACACGTTGGGGTAAGCAAGCAGGTGATAATCAGAGCAAGCTCAGACTAGACCACACTTATGCAGCATGCATCCTTCCTAACTTACACACTCTATTACTTCTTATTCTAGGGGCGGTCAGGTCATCTCTCTTACCTCTTCTCTCACCACGAATTTCTTCAGTCACGTTCCATATACCCAATCCTTCCACTCAGTCCCATTTAACACCTCGATCTGGTACGCCTCGAAGTCTCCGACCCGTGCAATTCGGTAGGGACCTAACCATCTCTTATCGAGTTTCCTGGACCACTGCTTCTCCAGCGACGTATCGTAGAGAAGCACGACATCCCCGACTGCCAAGGGTACTTTCCTCACTCGCGCAGACTGATCCCATCGGGCCTTATCATTCATACGGCTTCTCGCCACCTGATCAGATGCCTCCTGGATCCTTTCTTTTATCGCCCCGACCTGCCGCGCCCGAATATCGAGCAACTCTTCAAATGACAGGTTGACTTCCAGATCCTGGCGCCTCCACGTCTTAAGAAAGCTTTCGATAGGGAAGGTGGCATGCCTTCCGTACCACAGCGTCGCAGGTGC